CATTGCTCAGGTCAGCCCTCCAAGGCAGGTAGAATCTGGAGGGACAAAGGGATGACAACATTTTAAGCATAGCCCAAACTTAGGGTTGTCACATGGGTCCTCCCTAGGGAGCTGGCAGGCTGAGGTGAAGGTTTGTTTCCAGCCCCGGGCCCAGCACAGCAGATGGCTCAGGTCAAGGAAGCACAGTGTCCCCAAGCTGGTCCTGCCCACAGCCCCTGTGCAGCCCAAGGAGTCCCTGCTCTGCACACATCCCGTCTCCCTCCACTCTCACCGAGCCTGCGGCTGCTCTCCACTGCCCTTGAGTTCTGGGAAGACCCCAGGGGAGGGCTTTGTTCCTCTCTTGGACTGTGACAGGAGGAGAGGGGCCCTCCATTGGGTTCCCAGAATCCTGGCATCCGGAGCTGGGGAAGAGCAAATGTTGTTTCTTGAACAGCATGGGTGTCTGGAAGCCCCTGGGACTCAGAGCACAGGGCCGGTGAGATCACACTCGGGGCCGGGACGTAGCAGTGCCACACTGGTGGGAAGAGAGAGAAGGAACCCAGAAATTGGGCTTGCCCATGGGGTCACAGCAAGGAGCAAAGCATCCAGGATGGACATGGCTTCTGGGTGACTGTCTAGGAGGTGAATCAGAAGTGAGAGCCTGGCTGGGGTGTGTTCCAGGGCCTAGAATCCACCCTGAAACACCAGTGCCCGGGCCTCTTTCCCGACTGGGACCTGCTGGGCTCCCAGGGAGTGCCGGGTGGGGCAGCGCTGAGTCCCAGGAGGCTAAGGCTGCCCTGAAAATCCCTGAGGTCTTGGACCAGGCTGCCGGGAAGTGAATCCAGATGTCCTGGTGTCAGGCATCACCCACCCCAGCCCAGGCCCAGTCTGCCTCACAGTCACACCACGGCTCCTCGTGCGTCCTTCCCCCTGCCTGGCGTGGAGGCAGAGAGTGGGGTGCATGTGAGTGTCAGACTCCAATTCACATTGCACAGACCACAGGGCTGGGATCTGCAAATTTTGCCACTTGCTTGGCAAAATCTCTGAGAAAAAGAAAGTGTGTGGTCAAACTGAGAGCCCAACACAGCCTGAGACAGGACAGGCTGGGCTCTCCCACTGTCCTTGGGATGGGCCTTCCAGACGCTCAGCTGCCTGCTTGGCACCTGTCAGTACCCTGAGGCCCGGCTGCAAGCCGCTTACCGATCTGTCGTTCATACAGAGGTTTGAAATACCACACGTAGCCGGCAGTTGGCAGTGCCCCGTGGCTGGCCCTGGCTGTGGCCGGAACTCCTGTGCAATGTGCACTGAAGCAGAAGGGGCTCAGGGGGCCGAGGGATCCCAGGGTGGCAGGGGAGGGATGGAGCCAGAGGCGAGCATGGGACTGCTTGGGTGTGCCCTCGCCCCAGAAACTGCCAGGCCCATTGCCTTCTGGAAGTGGGGCCTGCCCGAGTCCTGTGTGGATGCCTCTCAAATCAAGGTCTTCCCCAAATTCTCTATCACCAGCGCATCGATCCGGCTGCGGGTGGGTTTACTGGGGCACCAGCGTTGGCAGGCCCACACTGCAGTCTGCCCAGCCGGCCCCTCCCTCCCAGTTCAGGTCCCCTTGTTAAGTCTTGCCTCCATTTCCGCCAAATTCTCCAGTCTTGCCTAAACACTGCTGCAAAATTCATCTTCCAAAAGCCTTGCGCTGCTCATGCCCACCTGCAACTGTCAGTGTCTCGGTGTTGCTCTCCAAATAACGTCTAAACGCTTCACCCGCCGGTCAAGCTGTCGCGCAGTGTAGACCAGTAGTTTTCAAACACGCGTTCCGTGCACATAAAAGCCTCCGGGAAGCCTGTCTGAAATGCGGATTCTGAGCCCACTCGCACACATGCTGCCTCGGTGCCGCTGGGCTGGGGACCCAGAATCTGCCATCCGACACGTAGCTGGGGGCTCGGATGCAGCTGGCCCATGTGCTGCATTTTCTGAACATGAGTTTAGGCCTCGTCCCTCCAGCCTCTGTCCTAGTCTCCCCTCCACCCCGCGACCCTGCACTCGCTGAGCTGCGCCGCTCCTCAGCTCTGGGGTTTCCTTCCACCCACCAAGATGGCAGGGACATCTCCTCCCCACACCTCCTGGGCTGCACGCAAGGGCCCTCCTCCGAACAAGCATGAGGGCTGCATGTGACACTCGGTGCTCCTCTATCAGCACAGCTGTGTGATGTGTGGGTGTGACCTGTGCTCAGGGGGCTGGGGTATCTCCTTGGGGGCAATGCAGGGTGTGTGTGCACTTCAGATTTGGGGGCGATGAGAGGTATCGGTGTAATTTATGAGATGATGTGTGCATTTGGTGATGATGTGAGATGTGGGGTCAATTTGAGGGGCACGTGTTTGTGCAGGGAGGTGACGTGTGTGTGGATGGAGGGATGTGGACTGTGTCTGTAATTGTGATGCAGTGACAAGCGCGCGTATGTTTGGGCTGAAGTGAGGTGTGTCTGTTTGGGGGTTGTGTAAGGCATTGTGTGTGTGGCATAAGGTAGGTGTGTATTTGTAGCATGGGGCGTGTGTCTGTGGCGTAACATGAAGCGTGTGAGTGTGCGTGGTGTGATATGCAGCGTCTGTATAATGTAGGCTGTGTGGTGTGAGGTGTGTGTGTTGATGGTATGATGTTGGGGGGTGTCTGTGGTGTGTGTGTCTGGGGACAGACACGGGCTGCCTTGGCACATACATAACATCAGAGTGGAGGCCAGGAGGCCTGGATTCCCGCGTGCGGTGTTCTGGGTCAGCCTCTCCTGGAGACCACACCGAAAGACCCATCCCACAGGGAGCCCCTCTCCTGCACAGCCCCAACTCCGACCATCACTGACCCCCCACTCGCTTCTGACTCACCCAAGGCTGCCCTTGAGCACACCGCAGGACATTACAGTGGCCGTGGGGACAGTGTGTGCACACTCCGTGTATGACATTGGCCACACACTGCAGACCCAGTGGGCCAGACAGGCGTGGCCTGGAGGAAAGCCCGCCGCGCCTCTCCCCGTGCTCATGGACTTCCTCCCTCAGCGGATGAGTCCATCCAGACTCCAGCACACGCAGCAATGCGGCCGGAGTGCTTTTATTCCTCTGCTAGTTCAAAGAGGGTCTTGGTGGAGCCAACGACATAAACCACAGTGGAGGACAGAAGTCTGGAATCAAGGTGTCAGCAGGGCCATGCTCTCTCCAAAGGCAGTCCCCTGCAGTCCTCGGCACTCGCCGGCTTGGAGATGCGCTGCTCCATCTCTGTCTTCACACACCTGTCCTCTCCCTGTGTGTCTCTCTTCTCTTCTTGTGAGACTGTCATAGTGAGTTAAGGACCCACCCTACTCCAGTATGACCTCATCTTAACTAATGACATCTGCAACGTCATTTCTAAATAAGGAACATTCTGAGGATTGGCGGATAGGACTTCAACATATCTTTCGAGGGACACAATTTAACCCACAATGTCATGGTTTACAGCAAAAAGCAAGCAAGGGGTATGTGACTGCCCCTGTCTCGTTCCTCCTCTGCCACTGCCCTCTTGCACTGAAAACCCTCAGCCCTGCAGGGATCCCGTGTTAGCCCTCTGGAGCCTGGGAGCCCAGGACATTGAGCAGCCCGGGGTGTCATTTGCAGCAAGAGCCTCTGGCATCCAAATAGCAACCAACGACACGCATCTGCAAGGTGCTGCGCAGCTTCCGCTCTCCCGTCTGTGGCTCCCTGTCTGAGTCCCTCCCTGTGCTCACCCACCAGAAGAGGTGACCTCAGCTCCTTGCTCTATAGAAAGTCACCTTCGTCCCCACTCTTGGCTCGTCTCCAAGCTGCCAGAAAATACCTCCAGCTGATGCCAAAAAATCCAGGGCTGGAAGCTGGTGTACACAAAGTCAGTCTCCACAAGGCCTACAGTGGCCCATAGGTCACATCTGCCCTGTGCCCCTTGCCCCCACCCCTAGAAGTGCAGGTGCCACTTCCCTCCCCTCCCTACACACCCCTCAAACAGTCCCTTTGCAATGCACCCCTAGACCCGGTTCCTTTGTAACCTGGAGGTGCTTGTATGGAATGTTGAGATGGGAGTAACTGAATGGTTGGCCCAGGCCACAGGGTCCCCAAACTGTGTTACCAGCAACCCCAGACACACTCCCCACCTTCTGTAGCCAGGAGCTGCAGGGTTCCTTGGGTATCCTGGCAACTCTGCTGAAATGATCCACAGCTTCATGAATCATTGGGCACCTACTCCCTGCCAGGGTGAGGGCCACAAGTGAATAAGGCTGGCCCTGCCTTCAGGAGCCCTTGATTGGAAGGTGTGTGCGGCAGAGCCCACCTGTGAAGGTTCTCCCATAGTGCGACATTCTGGACGCAGCCCACCAGGTCGGGGAGAAATGAACTAAAGGGTCAAAGTCCCAGCACCAACCAGAGGCCTCGAAAACAACCCAGTGCAGATGTGCCACACAGTATCAGTTGGTAAACAAAACTATACTCAGATGAGCTCTGGCCGGGGTGCATTAGCAAAAACGAAGCTGCCTCGCCGTTGCGCAGAATGCACGCCTCCTCTCTAACCGTCGCGCCCCAGGGGCGTCCCGGCTCCGGGCCCCGGGCCACCTGTTGCCGCCAGCTGCCCGGAGCTCGGGCGCCGCCTGCCGGCCACACTGCGCAGCGGCAGCGGGAACGCTTCCGCGGTCGGCGGGGCCTCCCCGGCCCGCACCCCGATGGGCCCTTAAGCCCGCGGCTGGCGACCCTGGGGGGCCGGTCCCGGGGTTGGATTTGGTCCATGCCCTAAGAGCGCGGAGCCCGGCCAGCACTGCTCAGGGAGTGCGCCCTCCCCTCGGCGCGGACCCTGCGGTTCTGCGCGCCCTCGCGGGACATCCCGCTCCGGGCGGGTGTCGTCGAGGGGCTGGCGGGACGGAGGGAGGAGCCTGTGCGGGTCCGGGCCGGTGGCGGGGAGGAGGGAGTGGGTGGAGCCCGGGGCGGGGCGGTTGCTGCGCGCTCCCTCGCCGGCTGGCGGGCCCAACTCACCTCTCGTCCAGGGACATGACGGGCACGCCTGGCGCCGCGGCCGCTGGGGATGGCGAGGCCCCCTTGTGCTCCCCGCCCTGCTGTCCGAGCTATGATCTCACGGGCAAGGTGGGTCCAGGGCCGGGGACACCCGCGCCGGCTCTGAATTACACCCCTCCCTGCGCCCCTTTCTGGGTGGGCTCAGCCCTTCTCCCATGCAGCCGGGTCCCTCCGAGGAGGGAGGGAGGGAGGGAGGGAGGGTGAGGACATAGTCTCTGGGTCTGTCGCAACCTCTGGGGATCTGGGTGGCTCAGTGGGTGCGGGGCGAGGAAGATCGGAAAGACTGAGCGACACCCACCCCGCGGACCCCAACTCAGCTTTCTTCTGCCACGCTCCAGCCAGTACGCGCCCCCGGGAACCCCATGTTTCGTGGTAAGGGTTAAGTGCGCAATCCCTGGGCACAGGCTAGGACGGTGCTAGGAAATGGGGCTGCCTGCAGACGCAGGGAGGACGCCCCCGGAGGCGGCGCAACTCCGGGTTAATGCCCTTTCCCGAGCTATGCTGAGATCTGACATCGTTTTAAGGCCTTAGGTACCCCAGCTGCTCCTAATCCTACCCCTTCCCTCTCCACCCCTCCAAGCACTGCCTCGCACCTTCCTCCCAGCAACAGGAAGCCCCTCCTTCCAGGAGGATGCTGCTAACCGGCATGCAGGCCCACCTGGGAATTTTTAGAACCTGAGAAAGATCTCAGCGATTAGTCACAACATCCTGCACCTGGGAAAACTGTAAGGCGGCTCTCTGGAGCTTGTTCCCTCTGCAGGAGTGCCGGGTACCGAAGCAGGTGGGGGCGGCAGTGCACACTGGTCCTTCTCCCCTCGGTCTGTGCGTCTGTGCCCTCGGAGTGGGCAGGTACCAGAAACTCTGAAAGAGATGCTGAGGGGCCCAGAGCTTCCACTATTCCTCCCAGGCTGGGAGGTGGAGGAGCCAGGGCTGGCCTGGATCTTGCTGCATGGCCTCTTTCTGTGCCTTGGTTTCCTCCCCCACCCCAGGGGTCACTCTTGCTGGGAGCCTTGGCCTCCACCCTCCTGTTTCAGGGGAAGCCACTCTGCAAGTCATCCGCCCAGAGCGGTTGAGATAAGGGCCCTGTGTGGGCTTGTGGCAGGAAATAGTCCCCTGTGCCATCAGGGGAGGGGGAGCTGCTGATGGCCAGCCTCCAGGCCGATGGGGATGGCCTGACCTTGTTGCCCTGCAAACCAACTGGGTTGTTTGCCTAGGAAGCGGTGAGGCTGGCCAGGGCTGTTTGTTTGTGTTTGGTGGAATTGCACCGGCACCGTTTGCTCAAGGCAGCTGTGATCTGTAAAGTACACAGGCATTGGCTCTCCCTCCCTCCTTTCCCCTCTGGGGCTGGGACCCAGGAGCCAGAAAGGAGGGCAGCCTTCAGAGGGCTCCCTGTCCCCCACCCCTTCATCTGTCCCTTGGCCAAGTAGCATCTACAGGAGAGCTGGCCCCTAGGTCTGTCCCTAGGACAGTCTGAGAGGAGTCCGGTGGGAGCTACTTGGACCAGACTCGAGGGATGGGGGCCACAGGCAGGTAGTACCCACCCCTGGGCCACTCTTCCCTGAGTCTTAGGTGGTTCACGGCAACATTATCAGCCCTAGCCATTAACAGACTCTAGAAAGGCCTCAAAGAAATTACCCCTGGGCCCTTCTACTTTCTGTGGAAACCATGCCACAGGAAGGTTAAGGAATACTCCCAGAGTCACACAGTAGGCCATTTACAAACCAGAACCCTTCAAACACCTTCCACTCAGAGCCCTGCCTCCCCACCAAAGTTAGCAAAGCCCAGTAGCCCACGCCCACAGCAGGAAAGCCTCTGGGCTCCATTGTCAAGTTAGGAGCCTCAAAAATAATTCAAACCCAGTCCCTGCTCAACCCATTAAGCTGTTTAACCAGCCAGTTGGGAAAATTCCAGCAATAGGTCTAGACTCCTGTTGCCAAAAATTGGGGAATGGCTGGACAAAGGGCTCCTCTCCACCATTCTCGCATGTTCCCTAGAGAAGATGAGCAGACCCTAGCCAGATGATGGGGAGGGCCCTACCCCACCTCCACTGCGGCCTCCTGGGGATGACAATTTGCAGTCCTTTGTCCCATTTGGGGGATTTCTACTGAAAGAACTTCAGACTAAACATCTCCCCACTTCAGTATAAATTTCAACCTTCCCTAATTCATGCAGCCCTTTTATAAACAAAATGTCATTACAAACTTCCAAATAAATGTTCTGACACCCCAAACAAAACAAATAATAGTAATTCTAGACATACAAATGACAGTGCCCCGCCCCCAGCAGATGCTGAGAGACTCCCCTGGGCGGGAATCCCTGTCCGAGGTATTAACGTTCCCCTTTCCCGTCAGCATAGCCCAGCCCACCCGTGTCCATGGGTGGCGCACACACACACACACACACACACACACACAGACACAGTCCTGGCATGGTGGGCAAATGTGGCTGGAGGCTAGACCATACAAATGTGCTGGTTCTCTGATGCCACCGAACACAGCTGGGGACTCCCTCATGGTGAGGTCTCAACTCGGGCTTTCAGGAAATTGGATGCAGACCAGGGGCACAGAGGGAGAGCCTAGGAGGCCGAGCCAGGCAGCATGGAGAGGAGAGGCAGGGGGAAGGCAGCAGCAGGCTTTCCGGAAGCAGTGCCCCTGGCGCTGTCAGCATCCTTCCCCAGCCCTCGGTCCTCTTTCCAGCTGTCTCTTCCTGGAATCCCAGAAGCTCCCCCATCCCCATTAACTGCCTCTGCCCCATCTCCTAGGTGATGCTTCTGGGAGACTCAGGCGTCGGCAAAACCTGTTTCCTGATCCAATTCAAAGACGGGGCCTTCCTGTCCGGGACCTTCATAGCCACCGTCGGCATTGACTTCAGGGTGAGGTGGCTGCAGGCGCCTCCCTCAGGCAGCGAGCCCGGCCGGTGGCTTAGGCAGAGGGGCTGCCCTCTCCTCGCCCACCCTGGCTGCCGAGGACTCCTGTGGCTCACTGCCTGGGGGGTACCAGGGGTGCTCCCCCTGGGACCACAGAGGTGGCCAGAAGGGATCTGGGCAGGGCTGGCTCCTTGCCCACCTGCAGGATGTGAAAAACGAGACTGGATCTTCCTTGTCTTCCTTTTCTCCTCCCTGGGGGACTGCCCCCAAGCAGGGTGGCCACCTCCACAGCATGAGCTGAGCTTCTTGGCCCTCAGAGCCCCTTGCCCATTGCCCCCTGAGCTGGGCCTCTTTGGCAAGCCCTCAAAGGTCAATCGGTCTTTCTAGAGTTCCCCGAAGGCACGGTACTGCACTGGGCTTACGAGTTGGGCTGGCCACGTGGGGAGAGAGCAGCTCACCAGGGTCCCTTTGTCTCACCTTAGTGACTCCGTCTCACAAGTCCGCATCAGGGATGCCAAGCGCTGCACACCCAAAGGGTCCAGGAGAGCGGGTCTGACCCTGGCAGAGGGGCTACGCAGCTTCCAGTGGGTAGAGGTGAAGCTTCTTTGGTGACAGAGTTAGCGGGCAGCTACAGGAAAGGTGATCCTGCAGATCTGGCCTCCGTGGCCCCCAGGATGCTGGTGGGCACCTCACTTCTAAGGGTGAGGTCACAGGCCCGGAGCCGAGCTCCGGGAGAGGAAGGCCAAAGCCAGGAAGGGCAGGGCCCTGTGCTGCCTGCTGAGCCCTGGAGAGAGCCAGGAAGCTTCTCAGGCTCCCCTTGCCCTGCTGTGCTGTGAGAAGAGCAGATGCAGTCCCCAGGAGAGACGACCCCACAGTGGAAGTGTCTGGGACAGGGTCCCCAATGCCCCGGTGGAGTGATCTGGCTGGAGACATCTCTGGGGCACGCTGCACCCCCTCTAGGCCTGGAGAGGGTCCTGCACTGCATAGGATGTTTGCAGAGCTCAGAAGCCAAGCCTCTCCTGCCCTCCCCCACTCTGCCTTTTTCTCTTTCAGAACAAGGTGGTGACCGTGGATGGCATGAGGGTGAAGCTGCAGGTGAGACAGGAGGGTGAGACAGGGGCTGGGGTGGAGGCTCCTCACCTCAAGTCACAGGAGGCCTGCAGCCCTGCCCTCGGCCTGGGCTAATTTCCTGTGGGGCCCTCGAGAGAGGAAATGGGTTTGTTTGTTTGATGTCTGCAGAAAAAGCAGTTCCCAGGCACCCTCTCTTCTATCAAAGGCAGCTCAAAATGCCTTCAGACAAGCTTAGCCCCCCTCCATCTCCTCCCCAGTTTCCTGGGCTGCCTCCGCTCTAGGAGGTTGGACACCCTCAACCCCTGGGGCTGAATGAGCTTGAGAACTCAGTAATTACCACCGTCCAAGAGGTCATCAGGTGCTCAGCAGCCCCTGAGAACCTAAAGAAGGAAAGAGCCCCACCTTCCCACAGGCATCTCATACCACAGTGCGGGTCCCCTCCACCTGCACAGTCCCTGCACCCGGCCTCCTTCCCACCATTTCTCCATCCCTTCTCAGATCTGGGACACCGCAGGGCAGGAGCGGTTCCGCAGCGTCACCCACGCTTATTACAGAGATGCCCAGGGTAAGTCCCTCATGCCCGCCAACCCCTCCCCCAGCCCCTTGGTAGCATCCATGCTGCTGCCTAAGTCCCCTCTGATCCCTCTCCCCCTCCAGCCTTGCTCCTGCTCTACGACATCACCAACAAAGCTTCCTTCGACAACATCAGGGTAGGTCCTCCCTTCCCCTGGCTCCTACCCACACACAGCCAAGGCAGGGCCTGTGCCTGCTAGGATTGCTCCCTGCTCTGTGGGAAGGAGGAGGAGTGTAGAATTCTGCCACCTTCTTAAAAACACCTAGCCGTGACTCAGAAGTCACATCTGCTACTGAGTATTTGATGGCCACGTGAGCACGGAGGCCAAGCAGGCTGTTGTGACCTGTAGCACCTGTATGGCCCTGTGATTCACGAGTGTGTTTCATGTCAAAGTGTTCAGAACAGCCTCAGCTCTACCCTGGACAGTTACCCATAGAGACCAAGGGCAGAGACCAGCCAGAAAAGTCTACATTCATCCAGCACAAGCTTCAAAAAAGTAACTTGGGCCAACATCGAGTGGCTGCAGCCTCACAAGAAAACTATCAGAGAGTCGATACAATAATTGAATGAATTCAAGCACTGACTCTGTGCACAGCATTGTATAGGTTTCATGTGCTCCCTGACCTCAAGGACAGTTTGCTGGGGGAATAAGACACATAACTATAAAAAGGATGGAAAATCCATGGCACTCTTACTGCCACTTCCAACCCCATGCTCACGGCAGACATCAGGAATCAATCACTGTACTTGTGATCACTGAACCCTTCTGTAGTGTTAGAATCCTTGACAGGGCACTTCAGGAAATCACTGGTGACCACCGACTGATTTGTGATGTAAACTCTCCATGCCATCTCTATCTGCCATAAAACTGGGAGCTGTGCTGATTGGAGTAGGGCAATCAAGGAAAGCTACCCAGGACTGGAGAGGCCAAAATCATAGATGAGAGAATGCTCAGGGTGTCATGTTCAGGGGTAGCGAGTAGCTGAGCAGAATCAAACAGGCCAGAAGAAGAAAGAGTGAGAGGGAGAAGAATGGCCTGGTCCTCAGCCTCGGCCTGGCTCAGCATGCCTCTCCCGCAGGCCTGGCTCACTGAGATCCATGAGTGTGCCCAGAGGGACGTGGTGATCATGCTGCTAGGCAACAAGGTGAGTGGCTCCACGCAGGGCCAGCCCAGCCCTGCACCTCCTTTCCCTCGGCTGTAGCATCAGCACCACCCAGCCCCGTGGCCACCCAAGAGTGGCTTTGTGGACATCCTTCCCCCATGCCCACCCTGCAGAGGATCCTCCAGTCTCCAGTTCAGGGGCAGACATATCTGGCAGCTTCTGCTCACCCCATCTGCCCTCTTACAGCTTTGGACAAATGGCCTCTTCCAGGGAAAGGCCAACCTGCTGCCTGAGAGATCCAGGGTTGCACAGCTCTCGGCCCCCATTAGAGCATAGTAAACAGGGTTCCAGGCCAGGGGCTAGGACTGCAAAGGGTTATCCCCAATGGCTGTCACCCCTCTGGGGCTGGATCACCACACCTTTTGCCTTGGAGAGTTATCCACTTCCCCAACCCAGGACTAGGCAGAAACCCTGGCTCCGGGCCCATCACACCTGCCTGCAGTCCCTCAGGCCACCAGCAGAGGGCGGGCAGGGCCTGCACCTGGGGCAAAAGACGGGCCAGCTGGGGTCAAGGTTTCCTTCCCCAGAATAACCCATATGGCCTTGACAGGCGGATGTGAGCAGTGAAAGGGTGATCAGTTCCGACGACGGAGAAACACTGGCCAGGGTAAGTGACTGCCCATGGGGCAGGGTGAGAGGTGGGGCAGCCAGAGCCTGGCCCTGAGGACACTCTCTCCCGAGCAGGAGTATGGCGTTCCCTTCATGGAGACCAGCGCTAAGACGGGCATGAACGTGGAGTTAGCCTTTCTGGCCATTGCCAAGTGAGAGCTGAGCTGGGAAGGAAACCCTGCGGGGCAGGGCGTGCCATTCGAGAATCCTGGCCCCTGGCCCAGCCCTGGGCCCACCTGCATTTTGCATGCAGAGGTCCCTTTGCCCCAGGCCATGGGAATGGGGTGGGTGAGCAGAAGGCTGCTCTGTGCCTCACTCCCAGCCCAGCCCAACCCATTGCCTCTTCCTCTTCAAGGGAGCTGAAATACCGGGCAGGGCGGCAGGCTGATGAGCCCACCTTCCAGCTCCGAGACTACGTGGAGTCCCAGAAGAAGCGCCCCAGCTGCTGCTCCTTTGTGTGAAGGCCAGGGGGCAGAGAAGAAGCTCCAGAGGCCCACCAGGATGCTACCATCTCCCCCAGACCTGGCTTATTGGGAGAGGCAGAGCCAATGGGGAGAAAGTCAGGAGACTCAGTACATAGCCCTTTCCCCAGGGGAGCATACTCCAGCTCCCACCCTAGTTCCTGTAGCTTCCCTGCATCCCAAAAGGGGGTAAAATACTTACATTTTATTTTAATGCTATATAATTCACTACCAAGAAAAAAAAGGCACCAGGGTGCCCGGAAAACCAAGGTAGGGACCTGGTGGCCCTTTTGCCTTCTAGGATTTGGGACTAGGACTTAGGGGGCTGGGCCTCCCTCCTAGCCCTGACAAGGGTGGTATTGCTCCAGCTCGGCACCAAGGGACATGGATGCACTTCAGAGGTGCAAGGGCACGTAGTGACCCCGTGAGCACCCTCTCTTCAGCTGGAGAGAGTCTGAGCAGGCCTGAGCCTTCGCTCCCTCCTGCCCTCCAGGAGCTTACCTTCTACCCAGTAAGGTAGGCTCTTGCCTGGGAGCCAGACAAAAGCCCCAGGGAAGATGAGAGATGTGGAGAATGGGAGGAGGAGAGCGGAGTAGCAGAGACCTCGGTCTGTCTGGCTGGCTACCTCTGGCCTTACTGACGCCCCGACCTACCGGGGCATGCCCTTCCTCCTCCACACACAAGCACATTGGGACACCTGGTTCCTGTTCTCCGGACCTCAGATCCCAGGGGAGCCCCTCTCCTGTGAATCCCTGTCTTAGCTACCTTTCTTCCTGTGCCCCTAGACACCTGTGATCAGAAGTAGAAAAGGATCTTTCTTCTAGTCCCAATCCTTTGGCAGGTGCGCAGCTCCACAAGCAACTTCTTCAAGCAGCTGTAGTGCTTAGCTCTACTGGGTTAAGAGCCAGATGAAGAGAGACCCCTGGCTCCTGGAGCAGGTGGGAGGCAGAACTGAGCAAGCCTCACCCCACATGTATCCCCTTAAACTCAAGCTCCACCTCCTCCCTGACCACCCATGCCCCTTAACTTCTCAGACACCAGGGCCAAAACTGCTTTATCTCCCCTCCTACTGGGTCAGGTTAGGGGCTGGGAGGCCATCCATTTCTGCATAAACCAATGCAATGTGGGTAATTCTGGGGTGGGGAGAAGGGTAGCAAGGAGTTCATGTGGACTCCTTGGTCACACATCTCGCAGAGCCCTGACTCCAGCCATTGGAAGTGGACAGGAGACATGCAGGTCATGACCTCCATGCACCTTTACTCCAGCTCCGCAGGTCAGCGGTGGGAGAGAGGGGTGAGAGAGAAGTATGCGTTGCACATTTTTGAGGCTACTGCATTTTTGCTCCTAAGGCAGAAATCTTGCTCTCTGAGCAGAGTCAGCGGTTCCAACTTGGACCTGATAAGAAAGCTCTCCATGGCCTCTCCCATGCGGAGCAGGGAGGAGCCTGACCTTGCCAAGTCTCTTCTGGGGCCCAAGGCAGGTTGCAGGAGATCCAATCACATAGACAGCTATGGGCCTCTAGCATTCGTGTTTTTCAGAATTAAATTGCAGTATTTTGGAAGGTACACCCTGTCCACTGTTTCTTTGAGGTGATTGCTATTGCATGTTGAGAGACTGTCACTGGCTGCCAGAATCATTTGATCCATCCTTCAATGTCCTCAAATGATCACCTCACCCTTAACCAACTGCCTCCCAGCTTCTGTGACCAGTCTCATCTGGCAAGAGTCAGCTAGAAGGTTTACCTTACAGTCCTAATCATTTTTCTTCCTTTGTTGAGAAAAGCCAGGCTCCTTTCCCTGTGGAGTGTCCCCAGAGGCTGGTTACCTACCTCTCCCCGCCCCACCTCTCTAGCCAAGGCTGCCCAGGCATTGCCCAGGGTGATCCGCCTTCAGTGGGCTGCGAAATCTCAGGCTCTCTGCTGAGTCCTCCTACAAGCGAGTCCTGGCACAGCTCAAAGTGATTCCACTAACAGGAAAATACGCTTATTCAAACAACTGCTGGGCTGGAGGAGGACGACCTCAGTCTTACTCTCAAGACCGCAGGGCCTTTGCCGCGGTGGAGCGGGAGCAGTTGCCCGGGCAACAGTCGCTCTCCCTCCGTTGGAGTCGTAGACCCGGCTTTGGCTAAAGGCTGTTAAAACCTTAGGATACTTTACCGGACTGGCTCGCCCCAGTCCCCGCCACAGGTGGGCGAAACCAGGACGCAGCCTGCGGGCCCCTCCGCCCAGCTCGGGGAATTCGCCCAGCCCCGCCCCGAAGCCAGCACTTGGTAACAAACACTTCCACTTCCTGAGCGCTCTTTCCAGGCCCGCCGCGGGGCGCCCTCCGCGCTCAGGCCCCGCCCCGCGCGTTTCCATTGGCCGGCGACGTTCACCCGGCCCGAGCGCGCCGGCCTGTGGTTCCTGATTGGCCTGCAGTGGTCCACACCCTCGGCGGGGCTCCGCCCCCGGGGTAAGGGGCCAGGGCGGGATCTGGAGTGCTCAGACGCCGCGCGGGGCGGGGATTGGTTCGCGCTGTTCTCTCGGCTCCCGGCGGTTCGCGGCAGCCGGCGGTTCCCGGGACACCTGCTAGCTCCGTCCGTCCGGCGGCGCGGGGGTTCCCTGCCTCGCTCCCTCCCGCCGCCCGGTTCGCTGGACCGGGAGGAAGGCTGCCCGTCCAGTCCCCGGCCCCCGACGGGACCCCGCGTCGCGCCGCTGAGCCGTCGCAGGGCGAGATGAGCGAGGACGCGGCGGCCGGGGCGCCTCTGCCCCGGCTCTGCTGCCTGGAGAAGGGTCCGAATGGCTACGGCTTCCACCTGCACGGGGAGAAGGGCAAGGTGGGCCAGTTCATCCGGCTGGTGGAGCCCGGCTCGCCGGCCGAGAAGGCGGGGCTGCTGGCCGGGGACCGGCTGGTGGAGGTGAACGGCGAGAACGTGGAGAAGGAGACGCACCAGCAGGTGGTGAGCCGCATCCGCGCCGCGCTCAACGCTGTGCGCCTGCTGGTGGTCGACCCCGAGACCGACCAGCAGCTTCAAAAGCTCGGCATCCAGGTCCGGGAGGAGCTGCTGCGCGCCCGGGAGGGACCGGGGCAGGCCGAGCCGCCGGCCGCCGCCGAAAATGAGCTGCGAGCCGCCGCGCCCGAGCCGGAGAAGAGCCAGTCGGAGCGAGTAAGTCGGCCGCGGGCTGGAACGGGGTGGGAGGAGGATCGGGGAGATACCCCGGCGCCCCGGCCATCCAGCCCCAAGCCCGCTGTCTTTCTGAAACTCGAGCCGCGAGGGGGAGACCTCTTCCGCCCGCCGACCAGGAACCCAGGCTGTAGGAACACAGGCCTGGGGCTGCGTCCCGCCACCCCATCCCCCTCCCCAGGCTAGGCTGGGAGAGGCTGAGCGTCTTTGCTGCATGCACCTCTTGTCCCTGGCCTTTGGAAAGGCAGCGCAGGAGAGCTAAGCCCCCTTTTCCTCTGATCTGTTGGTGTCTGCTCCCGTTCCTCGGAACGCCCCAATCCCGCCCTTTTCCGGGGCCCTTTCGGCCACCCCAGCTTGCAGGTGGGCCAGGAAGGGGGCCTCTCCGCTCCAGAGGCGCCAGCTTTCTCCCCGACCCCCGACTTCAAAAAGTTAGAGGAATAGCAATCTCTGCGTGGGAGGCTCCCCCTGCACCTACCCCCTCCCCCGCAACTCGCTGTTGTGTGTCATTAACTTCAGCCTGGCTGGACTTCATCCTCCTGAACTCCAGTGTGACTTCTAAGCAAGAGAGGAAGCCCCACCATCTCTGGGCGATGTGTGGGGGTGGCGTGCGGGAGGAGGGGCAGATGCGTCTCGGGAGTGATGGCTCTGCCACCCAGGAGGATTTACGATTCTCAGGAATGTGAGGAGTAAGCGCTAGCTCCTATCAGGGAGGTGGAGGGAGGACCTTGGAGGAGGAGGAGAGAGATGGCTGTGGGGGGAGGGAGGGAGTGTAGGGAAGCACGTGGCCATGCAGCCCCAGCAGAGCTCAGTGAGCAGGTGGTCTTAACCTGGCATTGTCACACTCACTCCAATGCCTGGACAGCAAGCCGGTTGGTTGCTTTTTACCTATGTTTGGTGTTTCCCCAAATGATCCCAGTTTGGATCAGCTGCAGGAGGGGCAGCTGGCATAACAGTAGTTGTGCTGAGCCTCCTGTCCCCCAGAGAGTGAAGTGAGGAAGCCTCAGGGTGCAGACTGTGGGGAGGAGGGCCTGGGCTCACCAGGGCGCCTTCAGCTTGCACCTAGTGGTAGTGTGTGGCAGAGGTGTCTATGGGGCCAGAGAATCCTCTCTGGACAGAGAAAGGGCACCGTTCATTATTAAGGTAGAAGGTGGAGCCTGAGAGGATCGACTGGTTTGGTGCAAGTGAAGGAAGTGATGTCACCAGGAGCCCTGTCCAGCCAGAGCTGGGTGCCGGGAATGCCAGGGCTGCCAGGCTCCCACTTCCTGCCCCTGCCAAGCTGGCATTGGCAAGGGGAGGGGCTGGGCTGGAGCACCCCGACAGGGGGTTGACAACGGGGAATTGGAACTGAAGACCTCTGGTCCCAGGCAGAAATGCAGTTTGAACTTTGTGCTGAGTCCATCGATTTGCCATTCCCCTTTTTTTTTTTTTTTTTTGGACTTTGGCACCCACACAAGTAACCCGCCCCCCAAGTTACAGTCATGTTCAGCTCCTCCCTTTGTCCTTTTGGTTGCACTGCTAGTTGCCAGAGGTCCTGGGAGGAGATTAACATGGAGGCCTGACATAGCTCATGCGCTCAAAGGCAGCTGGCTTGGTCTTCCTGGGTGAGCACAGAATCCCATCCCCCCCAGGTGGTTCTGTGACACCTACATGTGTGTGTACTTCATTAGGAACCACCTCCAGCGAATCCTGGGGACACCATCATCACCAGGCAGGTCACGGTACTTCTCTGAGCTTTAGTTCACCCATCTGTAAAATGTTATTGGTGACGTGGTGCGTCCCTCCTCTAGAATCTTAGAACTAATGGGAAGTACCTAAGCCCCTGCATGCTAGATTGCACTCCTTTATGTCCAGGCATTTGAATCCCAGCTCTGTGGGACCAACTCCTGCAACCTTACTCATAGCCAGTCAGGATGGTGAAGTACCTCTGGTATGGAGAATTCCCATGATCTAGTTGGGTGAGCTCGCAGTTGACCACCTGTTATTGCAAAAAAGTGTTAATGAACATTGTAAGGGTTGGGTTTTTTCCTAAAACACATCTCTTTCCTTGTTCAAAACATCTAATTGAGATTTGCTAATTAGCGTTAGCCTGAATTTGTGTGCAGAGTGGGGCCGTTCCCTTAGCTTCGTTAGTTCCAAGTGGAAAAAAGCCGAGCAGAGAGGGGTGGGCCATCTCGCTGGGAAGCAGCCGAGGGCAGGATGGTACCAGGCAGAGGCTGAGGGTGCCGGTCAGCCTAGGCCTGAGGAGGCGGAAGTGTACTGCCCCCTCTGCCCATCCGCTTTGTTGACAGCTTTCCCCACATCCACCCATGAGGAGACAGGAGCGGCACACCTGCCCTGGTGCTCCCCTGCTTAAAACCCCCTTCCCCCCAAGACCCAAACCCTTGAGCTTGGGCCCTCAGGGCAGGCCTGAGCCAGCTCAGCTGAACTGGCGGCTGCCTTCAGCCAAGTTACTTCACTTCTGTAAGCCTCCATTTCCTGTTGTGTAAGTTGGGGGTGACAGCTACCCAGGGATTAGGTGAGGACGCATGTAAAGCAAGTAGCTCGATGCCTGGCACTGACTAGGTGCTCAGTAAACGTTGGTTGTGGTGTTGGAGTTAAAAAACATTTCACAGTGATTGTTACCCACCCATGGGGCAGCTAGCACTCGATCCGCCTCCCTGATTGGGCGAGTACAGCTGTGGCCAAGGCTGGCATTCATAAGTGCTCAATCGATGGTCGCTGCCGGTCAGGAATTGTATGTTGTTCCGTGGCCCTTCCCGATCTGGCAGTCTACTCTCGCCACTGGCCCCCTAACCCTCCAGATCACACCAAGGGTCCGAATTCCCCTGTGGCCGGACATAGCCTCTAAGCCTTCACGCCCTGACATTCCTTAGTCTGGAAATCCTCTGTCCCCTTCTTCACACTCTGCAAGACCACTGGCCTCCCTGCAGCCATTCCCATGGGGCAGAGGTGGCTCTTCCTTGCCTCCTCCTCTTTGTCCTGAAGTCTTTCATCTCTCTGAACACACAGTATTTTAATCATCTGTTCAGGACCTCTTCCACTACATGGTAAGCCCCAAGGGCAACAGCTGTGGCTTATTTGTGTTTATATGCTCAGTGCTGTGCCTGGCACATGGTAGGGAGTGCTCCATAAATACTTTTTGAATTAATAAATGAATATATAACAGCTGTCAGGAACCTTTGTCCTCGTTCACCGCAGCCCAGCACACCTGGGCCTGTGTGTGCGCCTCCAACACGCCCAGAGATTGGAATTCCAGATAGAACCTACCCACTCCTCTGTTCTGCCTGCTAGCAGCTTCCATTTTAAGATTAGAAGCCAAAAGTCTGGACTTCGGGATCACCCAGATCAGTGTTTGAATCCTAGCTCTGCCACTCGTTGGCTCCGGAACCCTAGGAGTTC